ATAAAATGTTAATATTTCGTATCAGATGTATTATCAGCCCACGAGTCGGATATTCATCATTCTAAATGTTGCGTTATAAATTTCGACAAAAAGTATTAACAAAAATACCAAGCTCCAAAAAAGGTGAGAGTTCATAAAACCTGACAAAATCAAACGTTATACTACAAGTTTATCAACCAACAGAACGAATGGAAAACAACTATATTATTCCTGTCTTGGTACATGCATTTTTCCCCGGAGAAAATGGGGGGTCAAAATATTTCCCAATACAGTCGACGTCTTATCAATATTAACTTATTTTTTGTGATTGCAGGAAACTTGTCTTTCTTGTAAGAGGAGGAGTTGAAATGTATAATAAAATTTTAAGTCAATAAAAGGTCTTTTTAAAATCAGAAATTTTGATGAACATTGACTCATCGTCGGAGGAATATACGTAATAGATAAGCATGATTTGGGGATAATCTAAGGAACAAAATATGGAATAGGTTGGAGAACGTTTATATAGCTCACTGTGTATCATCACGACCCGATATAGGTACCCTTGGTCTAGTTCTCTGTTCATTGTCTAAGAAAACAACACTACTGTACAAACACCAGCGTATAGCTACCTGGGTACCTATATGATGGCATATGTACAGTAATGTAGTTTTTCTTTAGACAATGAACAGAGAACCAGACCAAGGGTAAATCCAGTGGTGATGATACACAGTGTAGCTAGGAATAGAAAAATTTTGACAGGAACATCTTTCTGTAACACTACATTTATACTCTAGAACTTTCGAATGCCCTTTAGATTTTGATATGTAATAACTTTCATTATACACTTAATTTACGAAATATCAGCACACACTTTGGGTTTCCGTTTTTACATTTTTTTTCTTACAAGAAAACAAAGGACAAGTCCTTATAGTCGGTGAATGTAGCGATTCCAAATCCATGAAAACACCAATACGTCCCCACAACGACAGTCATCTTTTCTGGCATTTGTACTCAAAGACTGAGCAATGAAGATGGTCCGAAAGGTGAAATCACTCTGAAACTCTATAATTTGACACACTGGGCCAGCAACAGTTGTTCCATCTTGACCTACATATATCGTGTCTCCGAAATTAATTTAAAAAGTAGCATGAAAATCTACTCGACGGCAGATAATTTTAAGTTTCAGCTAACATACATTTTTCATTGACTACGAAGACTTCGGCCGTGTCCGGCAGAAAACTAGTTGACACCATTTAAAAAAACACATGTACAGGACTTACAGAATACATGCTAGGAGCGAGCGAGCTGAATACAGATTGTCTTCATATATTTTATTCATTGCGGAAAGCTGGAGCCAAAACATAAATATATATACATAAATCAGACCACTAGTTTTCCGTTTTACTTGTTTTACATTTGTCATTTCGGGGATTTTTATAGCTGATTATTTGTTTGGCTTTTACTCATTGTTGAAGACCGTACGGTGACCTAACGTTGTTTAATATATGTGTCATTTGGTCTCTTGTAACGAGTTGTCTCATTGGCAATCATACCACATCTTCTTATTTTTATATGTTTTATTCATTGCTGGATTCTCACGAGAAATTCACCTGTTTGTATCTATTAGATAAAGTATCTATTAGTTCCATAGTTGTATCCTGTTGATATCAAAACCAGCGTAGTAACAGTTACCGGTGCAAAATCTTTACATATTGTCGGTACCAACGTTGATTGTCTCTTAAAAAAAATGAAATCATGACCAAATATATACTGCTATTATATAAGTACAATTATGAGTACTAATGATCCTTCATTCTGTCCACGCATATTTTTCCATTGATCAAGGTCATCCATTTCCCAGACTGTAAGACGTCTTTACACTTAACCGTTGGATGTGTATTGATTGATACTTTAGTCTTGGATAGCATGATTGATTGATTTATTAGTTGTATTTGCCTTTGAACTAGCTTTCAGTTAAATCGAGTACTTACACGGTGAATTTTACGTTGATTTTTTTTATTAAAAATATACTTTTGTTCTTCGTACCTATCTATTGAGGACAGCCATTTGCAAATGATTTTTACGTTTTGTTCTTATGGTGTTACCAAATTAAGAGTAGGGTAGTCTGATCGCAAATAGGTTTAACCCCGCCACATTCTTTTTGTGACTGTCACAAGTCAGAGCCTGTAATTCACCGGTTGTAATTATTCTTATTAATAACGGGATATCACACCCTAATTTTTCCGATGATGCTGTTTATAGAGCTTGAAATTTAGATAGATACGACCCATGAAAACTAATTGATTCTTTCAATAAAGTTATTCTTAAGGGTTATCAATTTAACACAGTTCTAAAATCTTTAAATATTGTTTTTTATCGGTTCTACCATTTTTGGTTTTGAAAAAGTAAAACATAGCTAAATGAGTATTGATATATATGTACAAAAAGCATTCTGAAGGTATTGCATGACAATACATAGTCCCCTACCGGTTAAAAATCCATTGCACTGGAACAAAATGCTTACTTTATCTATAACTTGTCATTGTGTGAACTATATAAGAAATAATTATTTATCAATATCTTCAAGCATGACGGAAAATATTGAACAAAATTGATTATTTATTCGATGACCATAACTCTGCAAAATAATCATCCGAACAATAAAAATTCAAACATGATCTGTAACGTGTCATGGTAAAACCATTTACCAAACATCAGATCTTTATAGTCAAAGATAACAAAATAGTAGGGAATACTGAAAATTTGTGCAAATTATTTTAGTCCTAGGACCATTACTCTGCACAAAATCATCAGACCGGAACAAAATTTAATATTCATCTGAAAGTAGTCATGATAAAACTATATGCCAAAAATCAATAAATTCAAGTACGAAGAACAAAAATGTGGTAAACTGATTTGCTAGACTGGCAGATGGACGGATAGACATAGAGACAGATGGACGGATTGCAAACATATAGTCCCCTTCGACTTCGTCGGTTGGGGACTAATTATCAGAACTCATGATCATACGTCCTGTCGATACTGTTTACTTATGTTTTGGCATTGAACAAGGAAAACTTTAGTCCGGGAGAACATTATTCACTTACCATTTGTAATTGTTTAACCAGCTTTCAGTAGCTGCAAACACTCTTTTATCGGTGTTTTTATCTTTTGTTTTGTGATAGTTGTTTTCGTACTAGTAGCGATCTTTAAGCTATGCCAAATATAACTGACTTTTACAGTTTGTTCTCAGTTTGTGCTGTGACATCACTGTTCCAGGTTATCATAGAGTTGAGCGGTCTCAAACATGTTTAACCCCGACAAATTCTTTGTGAGCCTGTCCAGGAGTCTGTAGTGCAGCGGTTGTCGTTGGTATATGTCTGTTAATTTTTTTTTCTAAATTCGGCCTCCAGTATTTTCGTTTTAGTTGTTTCACATTTTTTAGAACCATAGAAATGAGTCTCGTATCTTTGGTAGTAGGGGTGACTGTTTAAGTAGAACAGTGTAAATTAAAATTCTTCCAACTGGCATATTCCTTGCCAAGACGGGGTATTCGGTTGATTTTTTTTGATGTATACATACGCAGCCACGTCTTTTCGAAATTGGCAAGTTAATTCCGATGTCTCGTATTAAAAAAAGAGACATCTATGTTATCTACACTGTTACGATGAGGTGCTGTAGCTTGCCTGTTGCACTGTAAAATGTCTGTCCCTTTTCAACGTACCCCAATTCCTTCGGTACTAACATGATTTATAACAATAACTTTTCTAAAAATATCAGTTTATAAACCAAAGGTTTAAACTCCCTCAGTCAAAGTTTACTGTAGAATGGTTTTGGCTTTTTTATATGTCCTTTTAAGTCAGTCGCCTGTAGTTCAGTGGTTGCCGTTGTCTCGTGTCTGTCATATTTGGTCTTGGTAAATTGTTTTGTGATAAATTATGCCGTTAGTTTTCGTATTGTATTGTTTCATATTTTTCATGGCCTTTTATTGCCGACTATATGTTTTTCTCAAAAAGAAGGCAGTACAGTTGCCTGTTATTGCTTACACCCACTACATTTGAACTTGGTGGATAGTTTCCTATTGGCAATCATTCTACATCTCCTTATTTCTATATCTAACGTTTCATAAATTTGAATAAGAAAAGAAGGATGAATTGATTTGTTGTGCTGTGGCTAATATCTCATTCATATCAATGACGTGAGAATAAATAATTGATACAACACGTACATTAAAATCTACCTAAACAAAAATGAGATAGTTTGTTCCTTTGTGTCTACCTGGAAAAAAACAGCGGGGGTGGGGGGTGATAAGATGACAAATGAAATAAGTGAGGAATATTCGTCAACGAGACAGCAACCAAACAAAACACAATGTAATTTGAAAAATGTTTTACTTTATTTAACATCCGTACAGAACGTATTTATTTCGAGCCAATCTATTATTAAGAACGTCAAATTTAAATGTCGCCTTAATTTATATTTAACAGATTTTGTAAATTACATTGCACATTTTGGCAAAATGTCTCGAAAATTTCATATAAAGTTGTGTTGTTGACGCACAGAATATTCAAGCGGCGATCATATAATTCATAAACATAAAAAAAATCATTAAGTTACAATCGGAATAAGGAATATCATTGAACTCCATTTTGAAAAGGTGAATAGAAAAACAAATCCGAAGCTGTTGTATTTATAAGAGTTTATTTTACACGTCATAAAGAAAAACATTTCCGTCATTTGCATTACAAACAAGCAAAATCTTTTCTTTTTTGTCGAAATAAATTGCACGTGGCAAATTCAATCTATCGTATCTAGTAAGAATTTCTTTATAATCTTTACCGTCATCAGATACAACTACTACAGTGTTCGTTTTAGTATTAGTCACATACACATTCCTTTTATCATCTGTTGTCACACGACGTAGATCTTGATATATATCATTTTTAAACTTCCATATTAACGTACCATCTAACAAACAGCAGTATATTGATTTATAGTTAATACAGACCAGCCTGTTTCTGTCAACTGTAATGTTGTGGATACGGTAAAGTTATATTACGTATTAATCTGCCTGTCAGGTCCATCACATGTATTATACTCAGATCAATAACAACGTACAGGTTATTATCATAATATGATATTCCGTAGCAGTAATCATTGGTATTAATTGTACTGCTAACATAACCTGTAGATATATTTATTATCAATAAGGCTCTGTCACCTGTACAGGATACTGCTACAGTATTACTTTTTATCTCAGTTATATAACATGGCTGATAGTGCAGAGGAATGTGATGGAAATTAGTACCGTCTGAACTACAGATAATAAGTTGGTTATTAATATAGTCATTAATATAGTTGGGAAACGCTAATGTATTGCCTATTTTGATACAGCTCAAAATGCTGAACTTTTTATAACTTTTGATATTTAACTGTTGACGCAAGTTGACAGAAACAGGAACGGTGCATTTGGCAGGTCTTTGAGCCTGGGCCATATTTTCTTCTGTGGTAGTTATATCTTCTGAAATAGATAGTGATGCATTTCGAACAAATAATTGGTAAACATATAGTGCAGTTTTCCACACAAAAGGATTTGAATGTTGTAACATATCTTTTGGTGTTGTACACGATATATGTTACGACCTCAAACTTTCATTACTTACTCTTCTAGATTATATCGATTTCTTTGAGTGTTGATTTCACTTTAACATTCACAGAAGTGATACGTCGGGTACAGCAAAATCAAACCTAACCATGTAATCCATGAAAGTTAGAATAAGTGTTTACATAAATACTATTGTGAAACAATAATTAGTTGAGCATAGTCTGTTCTGGACATACTAATGCAGTGGGAGAAGTTATTTAGTTTAAGCTATCTTTCCCACCAATGTGCTAGATAAATATTCACATGTATTATATGTCTTTACTTCTTTTAAAATAGATCTTTTTATTTATTTTAGAGAAAAAATATCAATAAAATGTGTCATTTTTGTCTCTTTACAATTCTTCTGACAACATGGAAACTATGAAAAATAAAAGTAACATCTGATTACAAAACGCAACATACTCACCGAGAAAACTCGTAAAACGGAATGAAAAGAAACAAACCTGTGATATTGGTAAGAAGAGTGGCTTTGCAATAGGAATTTGAAATAAGTTACATTATTACATCATTACATTAATACATCATGTTTATGAACCATCCAAATGATTGACTAAGGTATAGAAATATGACCAATGAGTGGCTTTCTGTTTTACTGTGCCACACAAACAGTAATTACCTATTACATATATTGCTAATTGTTTTTTGTTTTAAAAATTATCGAATCATTTGCCACTGCACAATCAATCCATTATTTGTAAGCTTGCCCTTCTCTGCGGTTTGCTGCCAATTTAAAGTTCACGAAATATTATTCATATCTCGTGTATGAATGGTGACAACGTTCTTTGCACGTTAAAACAAACACTTGCAACAACTCTTTCAGGGATTCGTAGTTGGCATGTATGCAAGGCTAAATTTCTGCTCCTATCCAACATACCCTCCTTGCCTTTGGCCGTCCATTCGTCATTCCTGTCGGCCTACCTTGCAGAACCTTTTGTTTTAATTATTAATAATTGTTCGTCCTGAAAATACTTCGGACGTAACCAAGCAACAATGGACCAATCTTACATTTATTATATATCTAGGAAATTGATTAGAACTCCTTTAAGGCGCCCATTTGTTGTCTGTTGCAATGCAAGCCGTCCTCCCCTACCAAGCATATAGGTTTCTGTTTAAGGTCAGGCGAACAACAATGCATGAATCTTTCATATATCTCCGTAAAAACACCTTATAAAAATAAAACTTTGAGAAATTCAAATTGAAAATTCCTTAAAAACAAATATACACAGGAATCATAATATATGAATACAAAGTAAAATAACAAAAATACCGAACTCCGAGAAAAATTTTGAATTCTCAGTCTTTAGTTTTCTTATTTACGTTTGTAGAATGTTTCATAGTGTTTCTTTTGCGTTGTCAGTTTGTCTTCTATCTGTTTTGTGATATCTGTTTAAAGGGGCACTAGCTATGAGATATATATAAAAAAAAAATATATGATTTTTTTTGTTCAATCATTAATGAAAGTCAAATAGTTAAATAATAATTCGCTTTTAACAGCCAGTATAGTTCAATTTTGTCAAAATAAGCTAAGATACATCGATGATGAATGATTAACTTCCAAGTGAATAATTTGACCTCATTGAATCCGTATTCATGTGACCTTCAATGTAACCCCTTAGGTAGAGATGGATTACGCATGAATTATGCGTGTTCAATTATTAAAAGGAAAAGAATGTCAACATTGAAATCGAAACAAAGGTAAACCATTTGATTGACTGGTACGATCCACAAAAAACTCATTTTTTTACAGATAAAAACGATAATTAAATTATGATTTTAACCTATAACATGAAATCAAACAGATATAAAAAAAATATCAAATTGTACGAGGTCGCTATCTATTTATGTTTATGTTTATATCGAAGTATGTGATTGACGGCAGTTTTCGGAGGCCATCTCGATAGTTAATTAAATGGCGTCTGGACAAAAATACACACGGAATTCTGATATGTATTATCTAGTATATGCATTGGTAACTGTTTATTTCTAAATTATTGTAATTTGGATATGTGTTTTAGTATGTTATAAATCAAATATAAGAATTTGAGTCCAATCGGCGAGCATGATTTTGACAGCTAGCAGGTTAATATTCATAATTAAGATGCAATTGGCGTTTTATGCATGCAATATTTGACACTAGACGTTAACCAGCCATCGGGCAATCAATATTTCGTGTTAATTGTTCGCGATGTTCTTTCCTGCCACTTTGCATTTGGAAAAATAACTATACTATGCTCACTCTATTTCATTATATTTTTGTTTTTTTTGTGTTCAAAGTAGATTTATCATTTTAGTTTTAAGAACTTCCTGAAATATTTACTTCACACCTTCACCAGATGGATTGATTTGACAGTCTGTGCAAACACAAACCGCTTTTAGAGTTCTTCAAGTTTGTTTCTTATTCTATGAGAAGCCATTATATATACCCTTTTATTAATTTCTTTATGATAATTGTGAGATGTTTAACTAACTATTAAACCATTTTTAGTCAACCATTTTCTGCATAAGAAAATGCCTGTACCAAGTCAGGAATATTTCAGTTGTTATCCATTCGTTTGATGTGTTTGAGCTTTTGATTTAGCCATTTGATTGCGAATTTTCCGTTTTGAATTTTCCTCGGATTTCGTCATTTTTGTTATTTTACTTTTTTGCAAAATGTGATATTCGAATATCCGCAATATTTATATTAATTTAATTTACAGGAAAACTGCATATTTACAAATAATTAATTTATAGTTATAACTAGTTACCAAGATTGATAGGTAGGAGCGTTGCAGTAATATTATGATTTGCTCCGCTTCCGTTTGAATGCTTTAAAATGGCGTCAGATATTTTTCGTAATTGCTCTACCATTTGTTCGTCAGTTTCAAGTAACTGGGCCTCTATGTCAAATTTTAAGTAAACTTGTTCTCCCATGGCTTTTGGTTTATTCCATTGTGTGTTCTCTGCAAGGTTAAATAAAGAAAAATAATGTTGTCTTAAGCAGTCAAATATATATTTTTTATAAACCATTGCTAAGACGTCAGTCTATTCATGAATTGTGGTATATTTTATATATCTCAGCTCACTAGCATAGCAACAACTTTCGTATTCTTTGACTTAATATTCCAGAAGGCTTTAATTTTACCATTTGTGATATTTGGACTGAATGTGGATTCGCATGGCGGTTGATGCATGCACAGAGGAAGACACTTGACCTATTACCGCACACAAACTCGCTTCTTTTTGAATAATTACAAAATAGGCAAGATTGGGCTGAATTTCTTGTTCAATATTCTATATGTTCTCCATAAGATCAACATATTTTACTCATGTAATATTAAAAAAGAAAATGTTAAGGTACACTCGTCGTTGCAACGCGTCGCAGATCACAATAATGAGGTAACAATATTCTTATGATCTCAAATTCCCTACAATTTTCACTTATTGTATTTTGTATTTGTTATCTTTTAACCGTTACCAAACATGACTATTATTATTTTTTAAATAGCTTCAGTTGAGTTGACGTGTTTTCTAAACCTGTTTTTGTAACAAAAGAATTTACAAAGGAAACACATGCATATACAGTATTTAAATGGTTACATATTCTACATCGGAAATAGTCGACAAGAAAATGTTAAATCCACAATTATGTGGTAGCCCGAATAATTCAGTCCCTTCCCGTAATCGATCTCTCCTACTTGCGAGGGCCTGAATTCCTTACACGATAAAAACTCTTCACGAATCCTGGATTTTGATTGGTGCCTGTAGAAGAGGTGATCAATCAGCAATCAGCTCAATTTTATCGAGATAGGTAAATCCCGAGCTAATTCCGAATGATTTGACGTTTTTTCATTGTCTATGCATGCAGGCGTTAATGAAGCAATCGTAGGTCGGCGGAATATAACAACTAAATTATTCGGATTAATTATGTGGCAGACACAGTCAATTGCAATGAATCAATCATTGCATGAATAAATCATTGCATGAATCATTAGGAAGTGCCCTTTTTAAAGATTAGAATATTGGTTTGATGTCAAGAAGTTAAAATTTGAAATCATATTAGTACGACAGAGCTAGAGGTGAAGTTCAGTATAAATAACATTCAAACCATTAAAGTGGACTTTCGTATACCAAAATGATCATTCTTGTCCCTTCTTTTCGAAAGTAAAATCCTTGCTAAAGACATTGGTACTCCAAATTCCAGCATTTGATTTAAGTCGATGTATGTTGCAAAACCTACCTAATGTTTTAAATGCATTTATTATAAAAAAGAAGATGTGGTATGATTGCCAATGAGACAAATCTCGACAAGAACCAAATGACACAGAAATGAGTGCAATTTTTGTCACTTCACGTTAAACAAAACCAAGTATTAATCAATAAATATATATCCTTGATAAGATAAATCATTAATTTTCAAGCTCTTACACCTGTGAAAATTTCTCTCCAGCATGAAACCGCCCAAAACAACTTAGAAGCATTGAGTAAACATAATGAAAAAAAATAATTCGTGGCTTAGACATTAATAGAACATTAATGACAAACCTTCTACAGGTAACACTACCATATCAATACTCTCTGTAGTGGACGTTGTAATGCGCTTCAAAATTTTTTCTACGAATAAAGCCAGGGTCGCGTGTAGTTTTTCATCTGTTTCCAACGTTTCCGCCAATATATCTACAGTCAAAATTACACTGCCTTTTTCAGCAACAATAAATTCTATACCATATAAGCCTTCATTTATTTCCTCTTTTAGTGAATTAAGGATTTTAACAGTTTTCTCAACTTCATCATCGTTCTGGAAGATGATCTGTAGACGGAGTTTCGTCCTTCCTACACAAGAAAAAAACTTACTATATAATGCTGTTATGTTTATCTATATCAATAAGTAGAAAACCAGACCATGTTTCCAACAAAGTCCAAGTAAAGTTTGTAACTGAGATTACCCTAAGACGGCACTGTTGTGTGTATGTTTGTTAGTTTTATGTGCTTTGTACTAATCTGTGAGTTTATTTATAACAGCAGGGTTTTTTTACGCCAATGTTAATACTCACAAGGAAATTGTTAAAACAAGAGTTCCAAGTTGTTGAACTTCAAATTTCTATTTAGCAACACTGTAGCAGCGCCTGCAGGCAGAAGTTGATACAATACTGCTGGGCTTTTATTTCCTATCATGTTTTCCTCGAGTTCCAAGTGGTGAAATTGAAATCATCCCTTCGTAAATCTTACGGACGCCATCACGAGTTAGAATATCCGTTTCACAGATGAGAGAGGATATGTTCCTAATGTAGTTACTATAATCCCATCCCTTTTTCACGAATGTGAACTACCAAATTTAACTTATTACCAGGTTTGAACGAGCATGAACAACACGAGGGGTGCCACATGTGGAGCAGGATCTGCTACCCCTTCCAGAGCACCTGAGATCATCCCCAGTTTTGGGGGGTGTTCGTGTTGCTCAGTCTTTAGTTTTCTATTTTGTGTTTTGTATACTATTTTTGTCTGATTGTCTTTGTCTTTTTTATCCATGGCGGTGTCAGTTAATTGTCGACATATGAGTTGAAATGACACTCTGGTATCTTTCGCCTCTCTTTTTCTCTTTAAAGATGGCACTTTTTGGAGTTAATATTGATTCACTCATAGGGTCTTTGCATCGGAAATAAACAAATTCAGTTGTTGGCATGATACCGGTCATGTTCCTCTTCTATATTTTATGATGCATGATACTTAACCCCTAACTGGAGGGATTGTGTTTTATTTTCATAAGAAGAAACAATAATCTTTCAATCAATTAAATTGAAGTTTGGAGCTGGCATGTTACCAACTGCTAGTTGTCATTTTAATTTAATTTAATTTATGTATCATTGTCATTTTCTTCTATTACCTACTAGTATTCTAATTTCGGACTCGGACTTCTTTTAAACTGAGTTTTATGTGCGTTTTGCTGTGTGTTTGTTCTACATTGGCTAGATGTATAGAGGGATGGTGAGATCTCCCAAAACATGTTTAACCCCGCCGCATTTTTTAGCCTGTCCTTAGATAGAAGCCTTTGGCCTATGTTAGTTTTGTATGTTGTTTGTAAATTTAAGACATACCGCCTCTGGGTTCGGGATTGTCTAGCTGTGTTGAAGACCTATTGGTGGCCATGGACTATTTTCTGCTCTTTTGTGCCGATTGTTGTCTCTTTGATACATCCCCCATTTTCATTCTCAATTTTATAGCATTTTTCTAAAAATTGTTTTATTTGGCTTAATTATTTGCTGATTTATAAGATTGAAGTATGGCACGCCTGTTTCCGGTGATTTCTGTGACTAATTCTATACAAAACAATAGTGTATTACTTTTTCCTTTATTTTTAAAAACTACTGAGATACAATACAGTTATATTTATTACCTTCTGCATTCTCATCCTTTATAATTGTTCTAAGGATCTTCAAACTCGCATCAAAGCTTTCACCCCAGTAAAATTTTACTGGTCTCTTTTCGAATCTCACGAATCTCACTATAAAAAGGAAATTTATCAAAATGTAATAAGATTTCGTGCAAAATATAACAATTAAAATCGTTAAACGTTACATTTCGTATTTTTGACAATGAGGGTCTGCGAAAACAAAACTTTACATCCCATCATTATGTTATTGTTCTATAATAACTTTTGTACTCTTGTCGTTCATTTTGCTAATGTGCTTTGTCTATATGCCTTTTTGTGTTTCTTTGACACATATGACGTGGCTCTGTACTTATACATCCCGTCACTGTGTAATACTGCTATGGTGAATTTTTGTATTCTTGTTTTTCATTATTTGCTAATGTACTTTGTCTATATGCCTTTTTGTGCTTCTTTCTTGCATATTTGTTTGTTTTTATAGTGATAAAGATTATAAAACAATGTTGACTGCTGTACCCATAATTTGTGATATTTTTACCTAATATGTCTGTTTGTTTTGTTCACAAATCGTTGTCAATATAATTGAATTTGATGCGACTGTCATACAAGTGAGAGGTATTTTTGTGATTTTACTTTCTACGTCAAAAGAGATGATTTTCAGTTTCCCAATTGTTAATTTTCCGTTTCTATGTAGCAACATTGCAGCAGCGCCTGCATACGAAGTACATATCTCCCAGTTGATATGATATTCCAGGGCTTGTATTTCCTATAATGATTTTCTTGATAAAATGTTGATACACACAAGGAAACTTTTAAAACAAGAGTTCCAAGTCGTTTAGTTGAAATCATCCCTTCGTAAATTTTAAGGACGCCATCACGAGTTGGTTGAAAGTTTCACAGAAGACAGCGGACATGTTATTAATATTTGTTTAAAGTATTTGGTGGGGTTCGTGTTGCTCCGTCTTTAATTGTCTGTGTTATGTTTTGTGTACTGTTGTGTGTCTGTGTCTTTTTCTTATTATAAGCCATGGCGTTTTCAGTTTATTTTTGACTTATGAGTTTGAATGTCCCTTCGCCTCTTTTTACCAGTTTAGAAATGAAATCAAAATTTTCTGGAAAAGCATTTTTGTATTCGGTGTATCATTTTATTAGTTGAAAACGGTCTATAATACTATAACATGACCTTTTATATGGAATTGCGTTCATCAAATCACGATACTTGAATTTAAAAGGTACTGATCAGATTAAACATGTTTTCATTGCTTATGTAGTCCCTATTTCATCCCTAGACTTTTCTAGGTTTAAATGCATGTTTTAAAATATAAATGTGGGAAAATTCTGGAATAATTTGACGTCAAAACAGTTTTCGTCTGCCTGATTATCTCTATGTTGATTTTGGTATGGTTTCCAAATTGAGCATGTAATATAGTATATTTGAAGAATAAAATTGAGAATAGAAATGGGAACGGTGTCAAAGAAACAACAACCCGCCCAAAATGCAGAAAACAGCCTAAGGCGATCAATCGGTATTCAACACAGCGTGAAAATCCCGCACCCAGAGGCGGAGTTCAGCTGACCCCTAACATAAATTGGTACTAGTTCATTGGAAAAGGACGTCAACCTAAACTCCGAAACATATAAATACACTAAAATAAAAATGAAACAACATACAAGATTAACAAAGTACAGAGGCTCCTGACTTGGGACATGCACGAAAATTCGGCGGGATTAAACATGTTTTGTGAGATCTCAACCCTCCCCTATACCTCTAGCCAATATAGAATAAAAAAGACACAGCAAAAAGCACAGTAAAACTCAATTTAACAGAAATCCGAGTCAGATGTTAGAATAGGTAACAGAAGAAACTAAGCAAAATGACAATGATACATATTAACAATTAACAAAGGACTACTACCAGTTACTAAATTCCAGCTCCAGACCTCAATTAAACTTTTTAAAAGATTTTGTCATCATTTAAAATTCAAAATACTATTGCCTCAATTTTAATTATTTTTAATAATGTGTGAAAAATTCTGAATTTTTTAACCACATGCTGCAAAGTTTTTTTGATAATATTTCTTCAAAATAATGTTAGAATATGTGTCAGTTGTATCAATCATTTTCTAAATATCCAATATCCTAAACTAGTATTTGTAACATACAAAAACTATCTATTACTTAACAACAACAATCAAACAAACCGAAAATCAAATATTCGTAGTCAAGTGTAAACAGATATTCCATACCGGCCAAGAGACTCGTTAGTATATAATATGTCTGTATGTGTGCATGCACTTATGTATTGATTGATGGATGGATGAATGTATTTTGTTAAAGCATGTTCAAATGTTATCGAAAAATGTCTTTAACTTTTTTTTGATAAATACCTGAAATTATGCGATTTTGTCCGTCAAAATTAGGAAAGAAACATTTGATAGTTTATTTTTTTTTATACATGCTCAATATTGGAAAATATAGGTTGCCTTCTTGATGAAAAATACACAGGGTTAGACACTTTTAATTGAAAATAACTATAAAGAAAAAAAAAAAAACAATTATAGGACTGATAATTTGATCATGCTCGAATTTAATAATTGAAATATGATAATAAACGATCCTTTAATTTTGTTATATCAAGTTGTTAACACTATTCAAAGATATGAGGCATGCATTTATTATACAAAAGAAACCTGCTTTAAGGGTAAACTATTATTTGTTGATTCATTTTATTGTTGCAGGCCATTATAATTAAGGAAGCAAATATGACCTTAGATGAATCTGTTTATTTGGTCAAACAGCTTTTCAAATATTCAACTTTTTATTTATCATTGTTAAAGTAAGACCATTCCTTAGTATAGAAAAGGACTTTCCACAAACCAGATTTATACAGTTATATTTTAGTTTCTTATTTCTTTCTTCTGGTATTTTTCGAGGCTGTCGCAGTTTGAATTGGTTGGGCACAAAATTACGAAAGATACTAAGTTCCTTCTTCCCCAGGTAAAGTAGTTTTGCCTTTTGTTTGGTCATAAAGGTGTTTTACTTTCAAGTATCTATTTAGCATTGACTTTTAATTGTTTTGGTAAGGGTTTATTCAGAAATGTGATTTGAACGCACCATATGTTTAAGTGTTAATATTGGATAAATTCAATGTCACGATCGAAACATAAAAATGTGTTACTTTGTTTAAACAGATACACGTAAACAGGAAAGTTCAGGACGATTCAATGAATCAAACTTAGTAAGGTAAAAACATGCATATGTAAATAGGTATCAGAACCTGCATTTATTTGACAAATCACTGTACGATTAATTGCATCCTTACGTTTTATATGTTCCATCTCCTTCATTGCATTTTCATATTTTGTCTGCATTGCTGCATCCAGGATACACGTTTTGTGCCAAATTATTCTCCTTTCATAATCCGTCTTTTGGTCAAAATAAAGATCCATTTTATTACCAATATTACGAAACTTATCGAAGTAATCATTAAACTCATTATTATCGATATTGGTGTCGACTCGATGAGCAATTTGATTTCTGTAGCATCGTATTCGTTCAATATCGTCTCCTAATGTAATATCTACTATGTCTGGAATGTATCCCCATCCTTTTGTTGGTTGAGATATCAACGAAAACTGTCTTAATAGTCTGTAAATTAATGTGATATCTAACGATTTGTATGTATTAGAATACTGTAACTTTGTAAGAATTGTCTCCTGTTTAGGTGAGAAGTATTTTAAGACTGGGACACACTTTTGATACATCTGGCTGGCAGAAATTTGAGATGTTATAACATCTCGTAGAATGTTGGTTAAAGTTTCAATGATGGCAATCGAGAGCCTGGAATACCTTTCCTCGTCACTACTAGTATTCGGTGGAGATTCTGTTATTACAAAATCAAACATATTAGAAATCATCAATTTTATCTAACTTTAAACTGATAAGATAAACTCCAGTTAAACACAAATTAAATAAATAACATTGAATCATATTCTTTTCAATGAACACGACTGTAGATATAGATGCCAGTTTAACGTTATATTGGCCGCCATTTTGTTTTCTGGTGACTGATATCACTGGAAAATGGCCATTGTTATTGTCAGATTTCCCCCTTTAACTAATCAGTTATCTTTCATATGTAGCTTTTCTTTTGTAAAAAATTATTAACATTTCTTTTCATATTTTCGTTTTTACTAAACATCGTTTCGTTTGAGTCGGAATAGCATTGGAAGGTTAAATTTTATTCACCTACAACAAAACATAACATTGGTTTGATCAAATGGAGACAGAAAAAAAAACAGAAATTTTTAAAACAGTAAGAAAAAGGGCACCTGCAATGTTGAAACAATTCAAACTACGGAAAGAACCCATTAGAAATTAGCACATTTCATTTAAAAAAAAAGAGAGGAAAAACTCAGAAAAGAAAAATTAAAGCAACAAGAACTGGAATCTTTGCAAAAAAAAAGGAGGTTGAAGAGTAACTTCGCAAGATAAATAAATAGTTACTTAAAAAAAATAATGAAACAGAAAAAAAACCAGTTAAAATTTAGAAAAAAGGTTTTAAAATGCAACCCAGAAAACATATTTTTAATGCAATATTCTGACAATTGTATTCAGTTTCCCTTGCATAAACTTATTTCCCATCTGAAAGTTTTGTTGTCAGCTGACAATACACAATCAGTCTCCCTAAATAAAAAAAAAATGAAAGAGATGAAATTAGGCAAAAACAGGGGGTATAGTGTATTGAAAAAATAGAAACTATTAAAAGAAATGTATTGAAGCTTATAATTTTTTTTAAAGAACCAGTTCCTTGAAGGAAGAAAGCTGTTGTTGAAAAAACTGTTGAAAATAACTCTTATCATCATGAATGTTGAAAGTTTTTCACAGTCTTCCGATATGATTATGACTGGTTTAAATAAATGTCCATTTGGTAAAAATTTTGTAGTGATCTATATGGAGACATGGTATACTAGCCAAATTAATATCAAGGAAACAATTATTTTAAAAGAAAAATTTTTGCATCCTGCAAATTCTGTACAGAATCTTTGAAATGACTTCAAAGAGGAGATTTCAGTGAAATTAAAGAAATGTTTACTTTTTATTTTGATTTTGGAAAATTTTCAAGACTCTGGTGGCAGAACTTGGTATTTAAAAAATTTTCACGAAATTCAATCTGAATACGAACAGTAGGAAATATTTTGACTAATTAATTTAAAAGCAGCATGACAGCATTTAACAATGCATATATGATCTTCTGAATCTTCACTTGGCATTCATCGTCTTCTGCAAGAATAACTTATCCAGATCAAGAACTTAACCGTTACCTTTTTAAGTTCATATTTACTTCAATATTGTAAATGTTTTCTTATGCTATTACAAATTTCAGAAAGATGCTCATAATATGCTCATAATATGCTCATAATTTTTATTAATCATTTTTGATTTCATGCATTGTTTTCATAAATAAAGTAGAGCGATACCAAAAAATGGGAATGTACGGTGTACTTATGTCATGAAATGTGCATCCATAAATTTGTATACATGTACTCCCTTTTCTTGCTTGTTATATTTTGTGATGGTACTCATAACTTTGTCTTTGCTTGTTGCATGTTTTATGTGATGATGGTATTTATAACTTTGTATTCGCTGGTTGCATGTTTAATGTGGCGATAGTACTCATAAATTTGTAGTTGCATGTACATGTATTGTAGAGGTCTAACTTGGTGTTGGTGTTTCTTGTTTCTTGTAATAAAAATATGAAGCAAGATCAGGAACTAATTTTATTTTCATTTATTTGTGAACATAAATAAAGTGTCCATCTCGGAAGTCTCTTTGATTGTGCACATCACAAGTGCAGAATGTCTTTGGTTGGATCATATGGACAGGTCAAATAATCTAAGACTTATACTAAGGTATTAGCTTTTCTATAATAAGATTAAGTTTGAACAGAGTCTTCAATATTAAGATCAGAATGATGTATTGGAAAAGAGTGTCAGTATATTAAAAAGATCAAGTTTTTTAGTGTTAGTACAACACGCATTCATATCGCAACAAAATGATCTATTAAAAAACATGTACCCAAATATTTATATAAACAGCTGTACACCACTATAATTGCTACAAATAAATCAGTGAGAGCTCTTTATAAATAGAAGAAATTAGAATTGAATCAATTAAAATAAAAAGGTGGATGTACGACAATTATTTCGGTATCAAAATTTTTGAAATTGGTTGAGAAATAAGCGAGTAGTGAGGGAAATTGTGTTTTACGAGGAAAAAAAATGTCAAAATGTTGGCCATCTTGATTCAAAAAGGCCACCATAATTCCTTTCAAACATATATATTTATTCAAATCATATCTAGTGACATTTCACAATGTTTTATCTCAAATTTTATCTTGATACCTTGCACAGTTTAAGAGAAATGATCGATTTTTTTTGTTTTTTTTTAATCGGTGCCATTCATATTTATTAGCAAAAAATAGAGCGACAGCATACCGTATTTGGGTTGTAGTTTGACTTTGGTTTATTTGATGCCTCCAATGAAAGTGCTTAAATTAAACACATGAAAATAAAGGAAACACAAAAAATTTAAACGCCAAAATCACGCACCGGTACGACAATATCGTAATGTTAATTGTTGGGGAAATATTGTATGTTATTATATCTTCTATATATTTCCTACAATTATATACATAGCCAAATATGCAAATAAATACCTGGTATCATTTGACAACAAAACTATATCATTTTTACTTAATTGTTAATTTTCTGAAATTGTTAAGAAAACACAACATCAATTTTTATTCACACATGTCATAAATATGCCAGGCTATTGCTGATTAGACGCCGTTATTGGTAACTAGAATAACAAAACTCCTTGTAATCCTTTATCTTTAATTAATAATCATGTTCTGCCAGAGGCATAAGGATTAAAATTTAAATCCTTGATCGTCAATAGATTAATATGTACTGCAATAGAGATGATTACAATTATTTCATATGATATTTGTAAAAAATAAATAATCTATTTAAAAAGTGATATTTTCTTTCAGCTTTGAACCACGATGTACGGAACTGTTTGCAATTGTATCCGTATCCGATTCCTTCATTAAGTTAACTTTTGTCATGTTTGGACTTTGAGAAATTCAATGATATTTTGTCAATAAACGGGTAAATAAAGGCAAATATGAATGAGCTTGCTCACTTTTGTTGTTCCAAAATTAAACACAATTGGACGAAGCACCAAAATTACACACACCAAAATAAAACACATGCCTTTTGAGAGAAAACCGCCAAAATATCCCGACGCCAAAATTTCCCAATTTACGGTATTTAGAGACCATGAAATTGATCTTTTTTTCTTGTTTGTCATACCTAGATTTAACATTTAAACAAACCAGGAAAGTAATATAGTTAATATAGTACAATTCTGTACTTTTGTGGTCATTTAGTAGACAAATATGCTTCAGAATGGCTATCAAGACCTTTGGGTAATATCAGAATGGAGGATTCTCGGTTGTTTGATGCTGATAAATAATCTTTTAATAAAATATCTTATTGAATATTAATGGTTTTCCCTGAAGAATGAAGTATGTCCTGCCAGAGTAGAGTGTTTTAAGACACAGTACTTGCTACTTGTTTCAAAATATGTCTATAAAGTTTTAAATCAACACAGTTTTAGTGGCGGTCATCTTTTAAATAAAGGCAACAGTAGTATACCGCTGTTCGAAACTCATAAATCGATAGAGATAAAAAAAAAATCCGGGTTACAAACTAAAACTGAGGGAAACGCATCAAATAAAAGAGGAGAACAACGACACAACAAAAACACAACATTAAAATGTAACACACACAGAAACGAACTAAAAACAAGGGCTTCAAATGATCGTCTTGGAAAGATTTTTACAAATAATGCAAATAAACAATATATTCACTGTAACTATAGGCCTGACCTCTCTACTGTAGACACAAGTATAATAGGAACTGCTTATCCTTCCAGAGCACCTGTGTTCCCCTTGGACGTTTGATGGGTTCGTGTTGCTTAATCATTAGTTCTCTATGTAGTGTTTTGTTGATCTGTTTGACTTATCGTTTTTTTTCTCGTTTTAAACCATAGCTCTGTCAGTTTATCTTTGAATTTTTAGTTTGAATGTCCCCAAGGTATCTGCCGTTTTTCGATTTCTTAAAAACCAGTTTTTGTAGTGAAGGGCAAATTCTTGTATCTATGTTCAATTTGTGACCCTGCAATTGTTACCATTTCACTTTTATTATGATCATTATTCACATTAGTATTTTATTTCCTATAATGCAGACTTATTTGAAAGTTACCTTGAATTGCTTTTACCCTTGTAAGATCTTTTAGGATGGAAATTGAATTTGTTTTAGATCTACACAAACCAGTGTAAATACTTCCCAAAGTGTCTAGTTCCAACTTCAAATTTAATAGATTCAATTCTTGTGACCATCAATTTGATTTCCTCTTCCAACTCTTCGGAATACTTCTCGGTTACTTCTTCAGAGTTGATGCTAATTATTGAATTTGTTGCATTAATTAGCCGTTGTATGTCATCTGTAATTTCTATGTCTGTATCGGTAGGAACATTTCCCCATTTGCATTTAGGTTCATCTAACATATTGAATTCAAGTTTTAGTATTTTGTAGCACATTTCGATTGTGAACTCATCTATTTCTGGAAGCTTTTCCATTAAAACAATTTCATCTTCCGTAAAAATAAGACGGTAATCTTTCTTCGAAAATCGCTTTTGTAATCCAATCGGAGTTATGTGACTTTGTAAAATCGTCTGCATAACTTTGGTAAACAATCTCAGAATGCATGAAACAATCTCAGAACCATGCATCCTAATTTTGCGTGTCGTTCTTTAAATACATCGGACATTATGCTACACTGTCTTATCTGGGCACACGTTTATTTTCTACAGACAAAACCGGATATAACGCAAGAGTTATGTTGCCTCAAAGGAGCCAATCTGCAAACAAAATATAATTGGTAAAAAGTCTGAAGCTATCAAATAGCAGATAAAATATGGTATGATTTCCAAGACTTGTCCTGACCTCAAGCAATTTATTCTACATCATATACATTAGCTGTATCGTCATCTCTCCGAATTTTTCCTGTCCTGCGTTAAACTATTGTTTTTCAAGTGTTTGAACACCGTCAAAACTTCAAAGCTGTCTTATTTAATGAAGACCGCAATCTGTGGAAGTGTTGTGAAATTTTGTAGTATTTCAATCAAAACAAATTTGCTGTGCATTTTGCCGTCTTGACTGTCCATCAGACTGATATAATGTGGCCAAAGTAATTGTAATCTTAGAAAAGTTAACCTAGACACCCATCCAATGCAGCATAATACTGATTTACACAGATGATTGATTGATTGTTTATTGCTTAACGTTCAGTGGCAAATATATCATGCATTTTAAGGACGACAACAAATTATCAATAAATACAAT